TTATTTATTATTTGTATTTATTCCCTTGTTAATTTAGATTGATAGCAGTGAGAGAGAATGAAATTTAACATAAAGACATGAAAAAAAAATTTAACCATACAAATAAAAATTTAAATTGGTTGTTATGTATTCCATTATGATGCTTTAGTTATAAAATACAAAAGTCTTTTGTAGCAATTTCTGATTTAATGAGCAAAATAGAATTAATTAACTTTAGATATATTTCAGTTTTATTTAGAATTAAAGTTAAGTCAATTAAGTCATCATAATCATAATTAACGAGTTTTTCTTCATTAACAAAAATACCAATTAAAATTCTAATTATTGAAAAATGTAGCAAATTTCTTGCCAAAGAAAGATATGTTTTTTGTATTTTTGCATGTTTGTTTCTATTAGTGAGTATGATTTATATATGCATATGCATAATATATTGAGCGATTATAATATTTGTAAATAATAATTTTCTTTCTATAAATTGCAAAATAAATTAATAACTTAAATAAATTTGGCATTAATCTTTTGAAATATCTAAAAATTTAGGTGCAAAAAGTAATTTACATTTTCTATTTTCCCATTTACATTAATAATAACTTTGTTAAATACCAGTGAAGCAATTACTTAATCTTTTTTTCCTTTTTGAAAATGAAAAACTGAGAAAAAAATGCATTAAAAAATCAAAGCATATATAATACATTAATGTGAATTTAAAATATTCAGAATTAATGCTATCAAAACTGTCTTATCGCTATGAAAACTAGTTTTGAAAACGAACAATTTTTAGAGATATATTACAAAGTAATGAATCAAATAAGATTACTTCACAACACAGCAGGGAACTTTTACGAATAAAATTGATACACTTATTAATAAAAACATGAAAAGTCATTCATTGATCCGACTCAAGATCAGAAAAATATTGAGAAAATATTTAAAAGCAATACTCAAAAAATCATTGCTTCTGTAAAAGTATTTATGCTCGACTTTTTTTCAGGTAGTAAAGTTTCTGAGAAAACCTGAAAATTCTGTAATTTAATTAAACCATTTGCACAATTTCGACGAAATAAGCTAATTTTTTTATTATTTATAAATAATACCAAATAAGGAAACAGAGGGTAACATTCTTAAAGAATAACCCTGACATCTGGTATTGCTGTCTTTGGCATGGCGCTCAGTCGAATCAATCATGACCTTTATATCTCCCAGTCGTCTTTGACACGAATGGCTATGTATCAATTATGCAATTTTTCGTCAGCAATAACAGAATTATTAACTAAGCTCACTTTTACTTAATCAAATCAAGTTTGAATATTTAATACCAATTGATTACTCACTTAATCAGTCTTTCTCGCAAATTTTTCATTCGGAATATTATGCGGAAAATCTATGAAGGAAAAAAAGTATGCATATGCTAAAAATATGTAAGAATGAAAATGTAATCTAGCAGCATAAAATTCTTAGTAAGTTATGAAAAGTCATTAATTAGTAAAATTATGATTTATTTAAATCATTTATGGATGTCTCGGATCAAGATTTCATTTCATACAGGCGACTAGTTGTTTACTTTATTCATCCACCCACTACTTGTATTAGTTAGCAGGTGTATAAACATCACATATACAACATAAAGTTTAGCAAAATTCATAGTTGTGGGAAAGTTGGGGAATTAAAACGGAACTTGCATTAGTCCTTCGGGGATTGAATCAAAGTAATCTAATTTCGATTCAGTGGAAGGACAGATTTTTACATGAATTCAAGTTACTTCTAGAAGAAATGTGGAATTATGATCAACAGTGAAATGAAAAATTGAAATGAAATAAAAATAAAAATAATTCAAAATTCAATCTACACTCTTAATAGCACTTTATTTATAATTGCAGAATCGATTTAAACGTTGCTTCTTGTTCATTGTGAATTTGAATTTGTATTGTAAGCTAAAAAGTGAATCAGGCACTTTTTGTATTTTTATTTAATATTTTTTAGAAATCAAACAAGAATGTATCACAGCAGTACAATAGAGCAAAGAAAATGAGAACAATAAATATGCAAAAAAGTTAGTTCAAACATTTGAATTTTCGCGGGATCAAAGTTCAAATGGGAATCTTTTTTTTTCTTTGAAAAATGCCAACCACATTTTTTGTGGAAAGATATTTTCTTGAACTGCAATCTGCTCAAAATTATAACCTAAACATTACTTATACACAAAAGCATAAAACCAAACATAATCGAAGTTCAATTTACTGATCTCTATCTGATATATTATGCAGAATTCATTTTATACAAAACTTTTGCTCAGAATTACACAACAAAAACAACGTCAGCAGTGATGGAAAAATATGATGAATTTCAACTGAATACAGATTATGATCAAACAATATTTAATTTTATAATATAATTGTTTCAAAGACAGTTTCAAAGTCATAAGTTAAAATTAAGTAATTATAAAAACTATAGTATTTTTGCAAAATAAGAAATGAGGCTAATTTTTCAAGATGATTATTTAAGTGATGGAAACCTCTAATTGATAGTAATCAATAATACTTAATGAAGGGCTAAAAAACGTGACAGAATCTCAGTTTGGAATATATCATTGCTATGAATACTTACAAAGATTTTTAGCTAACTTATGAAAGATAAGAAAAAAATAAGACTGCGAAAATGACAATTGAAGAAAAATAAATTGCATATTAAATAATTATATTTATTATTTGGTTTTTTGATCCGTTTTTTTCATCCGAATAATTTGTTTTATTTATGCTTGTTCTCGCAGCGATCTCTTGTAGAATTTTCAAATGCAATTTTAAAAGTTGAGCGAAAAATAGATATGATGTGATGTTATATATTTTGCATCATCAATGATAGCATCACTGGAATGAAAAAGTAATTATGTCATTTGTATAGTAAAGAATTTTTAATTACAAAACTTTTGCGTCATCCTTAAAAATGTTTGAAAAAAGTCAGAAGGCATACAAAAGTGATTTAATTTTGTATTTCAAATCAATTACAGATCACTGATTGGAATAGACGAACGAAATGAACACTCAATTACTGTGGCAGTAAAGTGGGATAAAGCTGCCATACAAGCTATACTCTACTTAAGATCATCAAAAGATAAGAGATTAGCAAGTGTAGTCAGCTTTTTTATTGCAACGAAAGTTTGTTCTGCAAAAATTAGACATTTAATGCAGTTTTCAATTCATCCTTTTGAGAAATGGAAACTTTTTTAGTAGACAACTTCCTTAGAACTGAAAATAATTGCAGTAGTCTTACAGACAATTGAATAATTTGTTTTGTTTACGTGATAAATTGTTATTGATCGCTGCTAGCTGAGCTAAACTAATAGCATAGAGCAATAATTATCTATTTTGTGAGCTTTGTTTACAAGTTAGTTCTATGCCGGGAACAGCAAAATATGCGCACGTGACAATGAATTAACGTGGGGTGATAAATTCAAATGCTGTTAGCTCGCATAACAATTTATGATTTCACACAGATATCTTCAAATATGTGATTACTTATTTCTTATTTCCAATCATTCATTTGCAAGAATGTTTTTGAAAATAAAATGTGAGAGTACCCGAACACTGAAATTTATTGCACTTCAAGAAAGCAATGAAAAGAATATTTGATGCAGCTAGAATTGCTTCCCAAACAAATTTAGGAGCTAAATTGTTCGAATATAAAAGTATCATTTTTTAAAAGATTGAAATAAATGAACGTTGCTTGGGCAAAAAATTCTTTGACAAAGCAATTAGCGCCAATTGTTTTCACAAATTTTGAACTCCTTGCAAACAAATACAAAACATTCTACACTTTTGAAAAAATATCACAATATTAAAGTGAAAAAAACAAACGCACAACAGAATAAAAAATTTTGGCAACAAATAAAATTAAAAAAGAAATTTGCATACCAAAAAATTAAGTTAATGGGAAATTTGCGTTAATTTTAGCTTTTTTGCCATTGGCTTGGGAAATTTTGAAAATTCATAAAAGTATGGTTTTTTCCTTCCACAACGAAATGATTAAAAACTTCCTGGGCTTTGATCGAAACAAAATAAAATATATATGAGATCCATCGCCTTTGCCGTATAAATTCAACATCATTAAAAATTGTTCATAGAATCTTTACGAATTTGGGTGGCTGAGATTTGAGTGCGATAATTTTATATTTAGAACACATACGAAAAGTGAATTTGCATATGCGTAATGAATATATTATCAAATAATTGGAATTATTCATTTTCTTACTGCTCTAAAAAAACTATCAAATATTGCAATGAGTAAATGTTATCTCAGTAATGAGAATAAGTACTTGGAGCTCAGAATAAATAAGTATAACTTTTTCAACTATTATTAGTAAAATATCATTAAATTTTGTAAATGAAAATACTTTGATGACACTTATGGGCAGAACTCATTTTATTTGCTTTAGTATTTAAGACCAAAGCTCCAAGGAAGACAATAAGTTGAATTTGATAATAAAAAATTTGTTCAAGCTTAAAAATGTGTCACTTTTCGAATTTGCATTTGTATGATGTGCCAAACCACTGTGCAAAATTGCAGTGTATGGGTTGCACGATATATCTGAAAATAAAACGGTAAAAACGGTGGATAATACTTTTTAGTTCTTTTAATTCAATTTAAATATTGCAAAATATTGACAACTGCTTAAAGTTTATTTCATTTTAGCAGAAATATAAGAGTTAATCGAAACTTAAATTGAAATATATTTAATTATAAATTACAAACTATTTGATAAACTGATAAAAACAAGTACTGCATATACATTTATAAATTTGTTAAATTCATCGTTACTTATAACTACACAGTCATCAAAGAAAAACATTCAAATATTTTATTATTAATGACAATATTGTTATTGTTGTGATTATCATTATTATTATTGATTTTGTTGAAAGAAATAATCGCAACATCATGAGAGATTTGAATCAAACATTAAAAATAATTATGGATTCATTCACTTTCAAATGTGATCTGAAAATTCAATCAAGCACAAACCTACAATAAATATTTGCACTTATTTTGTCTAAGCAATCACAAAAAAGCGCATCGCAAGTAAGTCGCGTAGCATCGCAATCATCATAGCACTGGTCGTGATTAGCACAGCAGGAATTTACTGAAATCGATAAAATTTTAATCAAATTCCAATTTTTGGAAAGATTAGATTGTAAATTTTATCATGTAGTCAACTATTGCAGCAGTGTTTTCATGCAATAAACCTATAGTAATGCTATTCGTGCAGAAAATAATTATCTTGTTGATACTTTAAGTATAACAATCATTTTTGAAAATAATTTTGCAATCATTTCAAACAATTAATCACTTAATTGCCTTAATATCTTGCTTTCATCCAATTAATTGAATATATATAACCAAAAATTAGTAAAATTTAATTACTGCATCAAAAATATAATAAATTGTATTTAGCACTGAGCAGAAAAAAAATTAAGTTTTCATATAATTGTTGTTACTGACAACTTTTACAATTTTTTTCTCATATAGAGAAGTAGTAATGATTTGTCCTCAAGCTAACTGCAATGATAATTGACAAATTCTACTTGAATTGATATCATTCAAAATAGACGGTACTCACTTTGACTTTGCTCACAAGGCAAAGTGAATAATTGTGATAAAAGCCGATAAAATGGACTATCTGAAGGACCACACTGGTATTGAGTTGCTTCTGAAGGACACAAAGTGAATAACAAAATCAACAAATTCTTGCCAATCTGTAGCATAAGCTAAAATAAATGAAAATTAATTTTGAAAGTATAAATTTTCCAAGATCAATTAACAACTCTGCCACGGGCCTTCAAGAATTTAAATATGCATCTGAAGTTTATGAAAAAATTTAAAATATGCATCAAATCCATTACTGAAAGTTGCAGCAATTTTTAAATTTTATCAAAGGCTATTTCACACGTCAAATATTCTTCACTTAATAAAAGTAATGCTCATTTTACTTTGAAATTATGTAAGCCTTAAATGCTTTATGAATCTAATAGACAAATTAATTTTAGCCAAATTCTGTCAAGAAACCATAACTTCTGTAAACTATTTCAGTTTGCTTTTCACTATAATTTTGCGCTTACCACTAAAAATTTTGATTACAATATTGAATTACCTATCCGTTATCACCATGTAATTATTGTATTTAATATTTCTTCCTATATACAAGTTTAATTTTTAACATGAAAAAATATTAATTGCAACGCCGCTTTTGCTCGTTTACCTTAATCATAATATGTCTGTTTAACAGCACTTTTTCATTTTTTATTTTTTCAATTTAAAAATTTAAATGTGAGGTCATTTTTCAGTAGTTCACTTTGTAATCAATTTATTATCCTTACTACTGCGTTTTGTGGAATTCATTTTCAACTTAAGCAATCGATCAATCGACATTAATTACTAATTTGTTATTTTTGCAACTTTAATTAAGTTATGCAAACACAAACATGCAAATTTCTTCATAAAATCTGACTTACAACTAAATTAGAATCGACAATGATGAATGATAAACCAATTTTTAGACTGACTCACTCAAGAATTTAAACAAACTCAGTGACAATTGGAATGACACAGTGATTAACATTCAGTTTACTTATAGATATTAATGATTGAATGCTCTGATCCTTTTCGATTTCCACCGATTGACCGATGTGATTCATTTTTTTGCAGTAATTCAGTTGACTCAAAGTAAGTAAAAGTAAGTTGCCAGCAGTTTGTGTTATTATTTGAATAAAATCAAAAACAATAAGTAAATTACTTATTTTTCATTAAAATAACTTAATCATTCTGTAATTTATTTTTTTCATTCCTATGATTTACTTATTTTGTCAGTTAGTAATTTTAATCAGCAACTATTGAATAGTTTTTATCAGCATTCACTGTTACATTTATTAAATGTAGATAGATCGAAAATAAATAACATGCATAATATACATCATTATTAGTGTTACTGCTGTTATTATTATTCTCAAGAAATAATAACATTTCATATTGGATTATTCAAGCGTTTCTGATTACATATATGTGATACATTGAGACAGTAATAATTGTTGTTGCATAATTATGACAGAGATTAATTAGTAAAATATATTTGAAAAGGTTAAAAAAAAGATTGCTTCAGGTGCTAGAAACAATTCTAACATTTATATTAGCAAGCAGTATGGTTATGGACGAAAGTCGAAACAAAAATACAAAAATCAAAAGGAAAAATAATTTAAGACAATTAAACAAAGCTATCAACTTGATTCTTATTCACATTACTGAATGCTATGTGTGAGAAGGTAATCTTCAGCACCTGTCATTGAAAATAATTTCAAAAAGTTGAGAAGATTTTCGAGAAAATCAAATGTTTCGCAGGAATACAGAAAATGCGAAAAATTACTGAAAAGTACAGCCAGCAAAATCATCTTGTCATGTAATATAATAGTAATATCGAAATAATAAAACAACACTAATAATATTAATCATGATAACAATAATAATAGTAATAAAATCGAAAGTAATTAGACGAAGTAACTAACATCAGCAATACGAACAGGCAAAGGAACAGTTCGTAATAGTTTGTATAATTTAAAGAAATGACATTAATATCATCAGGGAGCAGAAAAATGAAGAAATTTGTAATGAATGATTGTGAAGGACGTTGCTGAACAAATGTCTTCTCGTTAAAATATAAAAATTGTCAGCAAAATTGTAAAAAGCTTTAAAAAATCTCCTCAAAATTCAAATACATTTTCAAGTATTTAGAGAGCTAGAAAGCGTCTTTTTGTAAAAATTTGGCAGTGATAATTGCTAATAAAATCTAGTTACTTAAATTGTTTTTCTTTTAGTTTGAGTTTTAAAACTTCAAAATACTGACTTATTGAAACATTTAAGTTCAAATCACCCGGTAGAAATAAGAGTCATGCCCAGTTAATTTGACTACCTATACAAAAACATTCATCAACGCTGGAAAAATTCCGAATTGAAAAATTGCAGAAATTTTATCCCATTTTTTGAGTTTTAATTTTTTCCACTGACAGCCATCTTAGCTATACGTACTTCATGTATTATTTTCACGCATAAAATAGTTATATAAGAATCAAAAGCATTGCTCAGCTTAGCAGTTACACACGGTGGTAAGGAATCATATTACTACTAAATATATTTGAAAAAAAAATTCTAAATGTACTATTATTAATTATGAATATATTTTTAAAATTAAAATTGCGATATCTTTTTGATTGTATTTTTGTATTCAAACAACTTTGTATCTATTAAGCTTGAAAATAAACAGCTTCCCCTTAATGCCAGGCAAAATGTAAACATTTTGGAGTATAAATTTGTCTTAGTACATATACTAAGTACTTGTCATCCATACATGCAGCACAGAATTTTTTTAAATCGTTCTTTCGCATACTTGTGAATTATTTAACTATACTTTTTCACAAAATTTAGTACTTTTTGCCACTGAAAGTAGTTGAATAAATCTGAAAAATGATGACTATAACAACACAAAATCGAAATTGTAAAAATTATGAGGACTTTCGTAGATTATGAATTAATCAGTGATACCGAAAGAGTCGATAATACCAGATGAAATAGCTTTACTTTCACAAATTATTAGACAGGAGTTTTGCAAATTAAATGTAATTCAGCATTAAAAAATTCGTGCGTTATTTATAAGTATTGACAGTAGCACTAAATTTATTATATCTTGAGATATAATAAATATAATGCACTTAAGGACCGTGAAAAATACTTCATAAGTGTTTTAGTATTCAGGGTAACTACCGTAGTAACCCTGGGTACTAGAACATTTATTTACTACACAGTTTAAAAATCTACTAGTATATTAGACATGAAGAAAATCAGAGTTTCAAAAATATTTGTTAATTAAAACAATACAGCCATGCATAAGCTTTTAACTTGACTAAATTTGACAAAAAAACAGCTTACAACCTGATTCAATTAATAACAATTTGCATCCGCTCATCCTGTAATCAAATGACATGAAAAAATATTACATTCATCGGTGATTAATTTAATAGAATGACAAAATATGGCAAGCGCAACAATTTATACTGCTATAGTCTTAAAATTTGCTAAAAATTAAAGATTAAGTTGCATTTGGTTAACACATAACCTTTTAATAACAACACATGACCTTTCAAAATTTAGGAATGAAGCCGAATGCAATTCAAAACGCCATAATTTAATTTAGTAACTAACATTAATCCGGAAAAGAAATTCAAAAGCACATAAATGAATTCATTTTCTGTAATGTTCTTAAACTCGAATATCTACAAAATTTTCTAAAATCCTCGCTTGTACGGGACTTAACTTGCAGTGTTTGTTGATCCGGCTGACTTCAGATTTCAGATTTTTTGATAATGAATATGACGCCATTATTTGCAAACAACAACTTGCATTATACCAATTACCTTCTTTCAAAGCTTCTTCCATCAATAAATTCAAATTTTCATAACTGGGGTACTCTGCAATATATATCTATTAACTAGCTATTCTGAATAATTAAAAAGAATTGATGAATAATTTTAAAGCACAGGAATATCATTACCATCTGTACTAATAATAGAAGTTTCCCCTTTTTTCAAATTTTCATCCAATAACAGCGATAAAAAATTCCAACTTCTTTCCTTTTCACCAAGTCTTATCATCATCAAAGACATATCCACTATCTGAAAACATTTTCATAAATATTGACAAAAATTATGGCATGAACTAGTGCTAATATTCCTATGTTTGTTTAGATGATAAAAACAAAACGGGAAATGAAAATTCGACAATCAACTGAATTCTGTGACTTCAAAAATATAACGTACAAAATCAGGTTCCATCTTCTTTTGCATCTTCTGCAAATGTTTTAACTCGGAGAATCGACTAATTTCAAGAAAAATATCAACAATTTTAATAACCAAATGAAGCAGTTCTTCTCTTTCTTCTACGGTCATTTTCTGAAAATTAATTGTGACATTTCAAAAATTGTACTTTAATTAAAAAATATGCTGGTATCATACGCACAAATTATACAGGAGGACGACAAAGCAAAATAGAATAAATAAATATGATTTGAGTGAAATGTAAAACAGCAGTACAACATCCGTAAAAGTTATATTTTGAAAACGAAAAAAAACCGATTATAATTTGTATGAGTATACTTACCACTAAATTTATGGTCAGCAAATAAGAGCATAACTGCTTATTCAAATTTGGTCGCAAAACATGACGCCCAGTGATAAAATCTTCAACTATCCTACGAGAAAATGTCCATGGCACACTTTGTTCCTCCTGCGATAAGAAAAAATGCTCTTATTTTTTATTTCTCTCACAAGAAATTGGTTTATTTGATCAAGAGAACTAATAACCTATTAAAGAGACTAATAACCTATTCACTGATTGCAATTTCTGTATACCTGTAACCTTCGAAGCATCATATTTGCTAAATTCATAGAAAATGGAACCACACGAGGAACCAGTGAAAAATACTGTTTTTCAAGTTCTAGTAAAGATGACTGATTGATAAGGATACGTAAATATAATCCATAGAACCTTGAAAACAAACAATATGTGTAATTGAATAAATTATTTTTTAATTTATAAAAGTTCAGATGCTATTCATTTTCAATTTCTGTCAAAAAAAGAGCTGAATTTCCTGACGTACTGTGCTTCTCCTAGAAAAGCAGGTAAGCGAATGTGGTTGTTTGACGCACGATAAAAAGATATTATTCTCTTCGCAATATTGATATTTTTTGCTTGATAAGCCAAATCCATTGCATTAATGAAAAATTCTTCATCACCTTTCTCAAACATATCAACCGCCTCACTCTGTTCAAGTTTCGTTAAAATTTGCGTCAAGTAAGCCAAGCACACAGACTGAAAAAAATTAATATGATCGAGAACCTTGAAATGTCAGAAAAATAAATAGTGAAAATTTGAAAATACTTGCAATGTCAAAAAAATATTAAAATCAGAGGTTTCTTAAATCAAAAAATATTAGTACTGAATCACCTTACTAATATTCTTGTCTTCCAAACAACTTCTCATCAGTAAAGAGTATGTACGCAAAGTTGGCTGACAATCAACTGCCAATGCTTCATGCATTATTTTAACAGCTGTATTAAATTGACCACGATGCAGCTAAAGATTTTGTATTTTGTCGGATTATTTGTCTACCAAAAAACTCCAAATAAATACACGGGAAATCTTGAAATGTTTTAAGGTGGATAAACCAACAGAAATCAAATATGCACATCAGTACATACGGATATATTTTTCAAAGCCAACTCACCAGAGACAAAGATTTTTCAATCATAACATTGAAAATACAAATATGTGGTCTAACATTATTCCGAGACATATCTTTTAGATAAAAAATAGCCTCCTGCCAAGTCTTTGCAATAGATATTAGACCACAGTACGCTTCAACTGTTGGAATAAAGCCATTTTTTCGCATTTCCTAAAAATAAAAATATTTTACATTTATTCAAGATAAACATAATTGAAACACAAACTTCATATAGTTCTGCAACGCGTAGAACGCATTCAGCATTTTGGTATTTACACAATCCAGCAATCATCAACGAATAAATTTCTTCATCTTTATCGAGCTCTTCAAATAAAAGATCTGCAGCACCACCCTGCAAAATCGAAACTATTAATTCTGATATACTGATCACGTAGAACATTTAGGATGATGAAATGTCTTTATGAATTTCCGACTGATCAAAATTTAGTTGAAAAAACTGGAATGAGTCAAAAAAAAAATGATTTGCAATGCAGCATCGGAAAAAGATGACATAAAACTTACGCTATCCCAAGTTTGTGATTCCTGTTCCATTTGGCTACCGTAATTTCGCCATCCATGCCAAGAAATTTCAGTCGTCGGAATTGATTTTCCATTATAATAAACTAACAATCGAAATAAATCAACCTTAAAAACTTGGGCATTTGCGAAAGATGTCGAAAATCACAAGTCAAAAACCTTAAGTCACTGGAATTGTTATAATACATAAGCAATAGTTTAAAGTGCTCACAACGAATCTTGAAAAAATTATAGCAATCTAATAATAAAGGTATACTGAAGCGAAATTAATTTTAATTTATTCGTTATTATCTCTTTCCAGCATTAATAAATTATTCGAAATAAACAGTCAATTTAAAGCTTGAAAAAACAATTACCAGTATATCGCGTGGTATTGGCATACTATCAGCAGCCATTCTATCATATAGCTGACCAGCACTAATTACTTCCTTTGCTGAAATTAATTTTTGTAAATTTTCTACAGTAAGTTCAAGATCAGTAGCAACGATTGGTTTTTGTGGTCGATAAGCCTGAATTCGTGGTATATCTGTATCATACATGAACAGTGTTGGCCATTCTTGAGCTAACTTTTGTGCAGCACGACGCCCCAATTCCTTGAAATATTTAATACCGTATATTTTCGTAATCTCTAGATACAGAATATCTCAGATAAATCTTCTAAATAAAAGTGATCAAAAATATAAATTAAATCTCATGATAAAAATTAGTAACTTCGGAACATCAAGTCATACTTTAAGCTTCGTTTTTGCAAATATTTCATGATTTAATTCTCCTATGTAAAATAAAAACTTCCAAAAAATCAAAATCGAAGACGTCCCATGCTATCTCGTTATCTGTACAATACTCAATCACCTGTTTTGCAACACTTTTCACTGTATTCAAAATTAAGTTTAGTAAGAAAGCTTCATACTTTGGCAACATAATATAAATCACGTTGTGAATCTGTAGGAATCGTCAAAGGATCGTCGATGAAAGCAAAATGAGGAGCAGTTGGATCAACATCTATTGTACTGGCTAATGCACGAAGTAAATCAGTCGGACTGCGCTACAACAATTTTCATTTTGATAAAACACTGGATTATTCGGTCTTCATATACAAAGGATTTTTAATGTAATTCTGAAAAAAACAGATTTCTTTCATTCCTTCGATATAAAAAATGTTTTAAAAGAACGGAGGAATTATATTTATGTACTTAAAATTTTCGTATCAGGCATACCAAAACTGCCTCTCGATTAATTTTATCAATAGAATTTAAACAAAAAAACAAATCATTAGAGGACAGGAAAAGTAATAGATTAATATGGGATAAACAGGGAAAGTGAAATACAACAAAAAAATGAAAAAAACAACTGATTCATGCTAAGACTACTAAGATGTTAGCTTCTGTAACTAAAAACTTAATACTACAACGAGAAGCATGAAAAATTAATTTTGCATCTTTTCTAAGTCTTGTGCATTGTAATTCCAACTACAGAAATAAAACTGCATTAAAACTTTCTATCTTTTGAAACTGCAAAAATGAAATATATTACTATATGTCTTACTTTAACAGCAAGCGGTATTCCAATTTTGTCCACACTGACAGATGAAAACCCTTTCTCAAGTGATGCAACAACGGACAGCAACATTCGGGGCGATGAAGTAGAACTAAATTTTCTACTTCTGCTTAATGATCGGAACATCTTCCTGCACTCCTTACTCTTATCCTTAGAGCCAAACAATAAGCATTACCAAAAATTACGGACGTTCTTTTGCAACTTGAAAATTTACTAACACTATGAGAGGAAATTAAAGATATAACAAGCAATAGCCAACGAATAATCAAATTTTTTTTTGCTGGAAGAAATGGAAAGTGACTTTAGTATGTTATAATGTACTGCCTAATAACTGAAAACATAAAGGATACTGAGCGAACAGATAACATCAGAAACGCTAGTACAGTTTCGTTACAACATACTGTACTAGTGAAATGAACGGAGAGACTGACGGAAAAACTGAAATACTGAAGGTAGCTGTACCGTTACCATCATTAGGAGAAAATATTGCACTTTATGAGTGTAAAATACTGTAAATATTTCTGTGCTGTGAATAAAATAATACAATCAATGTAAATATGTTACATAATGTAATCTACAAATTTCAGTATCAGAAAAATAGAGTATTTCTCACAGAACATTCAAAAAGGATTGAGAGAGTAAAATCAGAAGTTAACACTCTAGCATTCAGAACAGTAAAAGTGCTGTAAGCTAGAGGCATAAAACGTGAAAACTACGCAACTGAAGAAGTGAATAACTTGCTTCAGAGCACTATGAGATCACATTTTGCACAATGACTCTATTCTCAATAAGATCTACAACCTATTCATTAAGTTTGAACTATCTTCAGTAAAACACTATTCTTACTTGTCCTTCATAATGCTCTGTATCTCAGTTTTCTCTCACTTCGGTTATGTTTCTGAAAATTATTTAAAAAAAAGTCTGTTATGCACGCGCAACATCCATTATATTCCTCAAGTTATTAATTTCTTCTAAATTTTTAATCTTTATTTAGCTATAAAGTATGCATGCTAGATCTCAACTCTTATTCCTTTCACTTTTGACCCATTTTCCTCTTCTTTTTATTTTATTTTTTACGATTTTCTTTTCATGAACAAGCACTGAATAGTAAATATTCTACGTCAAATATAATGTGATTAAAATAATTTTGTTGGAAAATTAATTTCAAGTGGCTTTAGTTTCAGTTTTTCAGTTCCTATTCAAATTTTATCAAATTTATTTCTCGCGGAGAACGTTTGGCTTTTTTACTTTCAATGGACTTAAAAAATATTTTGGTTCGAAAGCCGCCTACTGAGTCTACTAATTTACTGGATCGACTGCAAAATTTTTTGCCAAAAATTGCTGCTGCGAATAGGGAATTAGACAAGGCATCTAAATGTGATATTGTAATTAATGTTGTAGGCGGCACAGGTGAAAGCGAAAGTGACTCTTCTTCTTCTGCTTCAACATGTTCTTCGTCTGATTCAGAGGATACGTGGAAAGTATGCACTGTTAATTGGTTGTTTTGTAGTTTGTTTCGGCTTTATAGGAGAGGTTTTTAAGCTTTATGGAAAAAGATTCCATAGTTTTTGTACAAGCATTTGTTTACAGCAACATGTGAAATGAAACATGTCGAAAATTAAAGGCATAGCTGTAAATTTTTTGCAGTATGCTGGAACTGGTACTGAAGAACCAGAAGTAGTAGTGGATGTAACAACGCTGAAAGAAGATACAATGAAATCTTTGGTTGAAACATCAGATAGTAATACAAGTGATGATTGCGAAGATGAAATGTTACCTGTTGGGTTTCGGATTAAAAAATCTGTGCCAAAAAAAAAGCGAAAGCAGTTGATAGAAGAAGTTAATGTTGATTCAGATAGTTTTAAAAAATGATGAATCTATCGATGTCTCCAGCCAATAAAAACATTATCCATGTAAGTAAAGCAGTGTTGATTGTGGCATATTATTATTTTTTTAACTAAACCATTGTTACTGCTATTTAAGGCATAAAAGATACTGTTTAATTTTCCAATTACATTTCGTTATTTAGTTAAAGCTGTTACTAATTTCATTGTATACAAGAAACTTTAGTTGATAATGTGACAAATTTGATTTCAGTGAATAATTTGGGTTGTTCGTTTTTCCTCTGTTCAGTATTTGTTATTAAATCTTATGACTTTTATTCGGTTTGTTTATTTGTTTTGTTTTATTAAAGTTTGGTTGAAAGCAATAAACATGCACTGTCTCTGCTTTTAAATACCCACAGAAAAAGAAAAATAATTTAGTTCTAAATATCGTCATGTTGAATTTTAATCTGTGGGCAATAGCATTTTAAATACTCAAAATAATTACGATGGGCTCATAAGATATGCATTAGCGATTCAAGTGTTTTGCATTATCTAAAAATAAAACGACTGCAAGCATTTCTTATAACTGGATAAGTAATGATTTGACTGCCCTAAAACCAGTCAGAAGTGTTAATATATTAAGTACTTCTGACTGCTTCTTTGGTCATTTTAAAATAGCCAGCAATACAATTAACTTAGATATAAGTATTTTATTGGTAAGAGTCATTTCCAACGTATGTACTGTGAGCATTTAAAAGCTTGCCTAGTTTTTTCCCCATATTTAGTGCATTGTTATTCTGCGCAAAGATCTAACGTGAAAGAAGGTAGTTCGATTACATCAGATCACGTAAAATTATTGATTCATTCATGATTATGCTTAATGAGAGCTCTCAGAAAGATGCATGAGTCAGATAATCTTCAGTGGAATTTGAATGATTTACAAGCAATCATGCTAGAATCGTTCGACAAATAGGTCGTTTTGAAGTCTTTAATCAAATTATATGCAAAAACTGTTATTTGCAATCTAATTATTGATATAGGGGTGGAAACATGGCCGACTTCCTCTTTCTATCAAGATTCTGTCTATTGGACCATCACATAACGAACTAAAAGCCTTTGCTAGAATATTTGAACGGTTAAGTTACATGCAGCTGTTTGAAATAATTAATATACCAACAAATGGTTGTGTAGTAATTATACATTCAAGCATATTCTAACTTTTAAGTCATCTAGTGCGTATAATTACACTTATTTCATACAATTTAATAGAGAAATTGTAGAAATAAAATGAATCTCGTCAAATGGTTCTGTCTTTTAATTTGAAAAGTATGATGAGTAATTAGCATATAAAAAGCTGCAGTTTTCATATTTAAATAGTGAAATGTCATTGAGCACTGCTTCTCTTGTATAAATAATATTTATTAGAAATGTGCGAAATTTAAAAGTCAGCTCATTTTGCTAAAATGATGAGCTGTTTTATTTGCTACAACATAATCCCGAGTTATTTAAAAATTAATTATTTTCAAAAGCTTATTTCTTGCCCATTCGTGTGCGAATTAAATGCAGCAGTCATAACAGTGAATTTTTCTAAAACAATTATTCATTAATCTTTTGTTATGTTCAATAAAAATTAAGTATTACTCGTTTTATTACTTTTTAAATTAAGCAAATTTTCCGGTTACTCTGAAAACGCGCTGAGAAGTTTTCCCTGTTTCAGTGCAATAATCTCCAAGTGCTAGTCATTTATACTTAAGTTTTCTCAATTACTGCTTATCTAACAATAATTGTTGTCTACTGGAAGCAAAAAATCTCCTTCTGGATTTATTCATCCAAGCTGCTTCATCACTACCACATGTATTTGAGATTACAGCTTGGATAACTCTCATTTTATGCGAGCAAAACAGCTCTTTATTGCTGAAAAATGTTTATAATTCGATTTAAAATTTATATTATCTTTTATTTTTGATGTGATTGTCATGTTTAAACTGCTTCTCACGGCACACTTTCAATAAACATTTAATAGTTGTTTGTATTTTGAATATTTTCAAATATGCTAAGATTGCGAAGAAAGTATCCCGCTAAATTATGATTTCAGCTTTTTATCTTTTAAATTCTTATTTCAACTCATATTCAGACTTACATTTGTTAATATTACTTATTTTCTAAGAACCACTATATTTTTAAATCTTTTTCCCGATTCAAGTTAATAAGTATTCATTTTGTATATAGAATGAATCTGATTCATTTCTCAGAGGCATAATAAAACCGCATGTAAAGTAAAAACTGCACATTTCAATTGATAATACCATAAGAGTAAGGAAAAGTTTCAGAAATTCTTTTGCACTGAGGTAATTTTAACGATAAGATTGGCATAAAGGAATCGATTGGATATAAGTTAATAAAATCAAACGAACAAAGTTAAACTAATAATTTACATAATGTTATATTGCAGTAAGAAAACTGATTAACATCAACGCTACTGATGATATGTATAATTAAATTTGTTTTTTTTTTTTTTTTTTTTTTTTTTTTTTGTAGAATGTGACTCTCCTGGGAAGATGATAGCATCATGAAGGAATTTTTCAATTTTAGTAATGATATTTAAATAGATAAATTTTAAATTTGAACTTTTAAGAGTAAAAAGTAAGAATTTAAAGCATTTTGGTGTTTAATTGACAATAAATACTCTGAACTTGATTGTTTTTAGTATTTTTGTACTATATGAAATAAAGCAAATTACAAAAGACTTTACAGCACTAAGAAAGAAAATTAAAAAGCTAATCAAAAATGAGACACTTTTAAACTTAAAACAAACTGAATGTTTGTTTTAAAAACGCGAATTTTTAACCAAATATACTTTTGACTTCGAAATTTTATGGAGTTAATTCATATTGCTTTGAGGGAAAAAGTTTGTGATGAAAAATTCATGGGAAGGTGGAAAAATTAAAACTGATAACTAATTAGCTTCAATATAACAAATATTCCTAATCCAAGTTTTCTCTCGATCAAAGCAAATGTTATAATGGAAACAAATAAGCTCATTATCATTTTACTATATGTTTGCTTGGCGAAGAAGACTTGAATCTTTGTTTCAGTCCATATCAAACCAAACTGTGGTAATTATCTCATTCAGTAAGCATATTGTGTAATTAGGCTATTTTAAGGTACTAAAAATGACAAACAAGTCTAGTTAAGATTAATAGCAATACTACGGGCTAAAATTGATATAAATTGCAAAAATATCAAAATGTGCAAAGGACATGCGTCAAATTTCACGTACAATCTATGCTTTGATATCATTTTTCTTTGCTTTGTTGGATTCAAGACTGAAAATAGATGCATTATTTGATATATGCCTCGATAATTAGTTCCATTTTCATTTTTGAAATAGCTTATTCAAACATTAAAATGAAACTTAGTTTGCGAGACAGTTTCATAACTACACAAACAGATGACATAAAAAGTTAATTAATTTAATTGCGTATAGCTTTGCATACTGATGAAATACTATTCAATTCCTTCAATTTCAGTCCTTTTAAATTTAGTCTTTATTCAATTCCTTCAATTTCAGTCCTGGGTTTGAGTATTAAAAAAATGATGACTGATATTTGTAGCATAATAAAATGGAGACTTAATTCAAAAAGAATAATTCAAATTGCAAGGCATTGAACTAAAAATTCGAAAATAAAGACCACCGCTACTTTAATTTCCACATTATCTACATCCTAGAGGATACTTTATCACCATTTCGGATGCTGATAAAAATGACCATCACTGGTTGCAAGTAATAACTGTTTAGCATAATTTTATCATATTCTTATTCTTATCTAATATTGACTTATAACCATAAAGATGCCTACTTTATCATTGTTTTCATCCATTTTGGTTTAATACCTGTCTATTCTATCTATTCTATTACTAGTCTTATGACTATTCTGTTGCAAATTATTATCAAAATGTTTTGTGACAATTTTTGGCACTAATTGATTGATACAAAATAATTACATTGTAATTACTTTATTACTATTTGATCCTAATTACTGTTATAATTGCTTTAAAGTAATTAAAAATTATTACTTATCAAAATTTCAATCAATAGTATTGTTTATATTTCTGGTACATACATGTACTTGCTTAATGGATTATATTTGAAAAAATAAAAGAAATTTGCATTTTTTCATAAGAAGAAATTTATCAAGGAGGGGCACCTGATTATCGATAAGGCAAAAAGGTTGTAATAATTGAAAAAAGTAGGCGGCACGGAATAATGGGAGGAGTGTATTCATTTCTATCGCAGAGTTCCGTGATAGTTGTGAAAACTGCTTCTCCCCAGTATGATTCATCCCGTCATTTGTTATCGTTTTCTGCTTTCACGTTGTACTTACGTGGTTCACGTCGGCATTCACTGCGGATAATATATTTGCTTTCTGTCACTTGTGAGGAAAATTACAATATGAACAGCATCCGTTTGCCTATTGTACTCATTGTGGTTAACAAAGAAAAATTTCAAATTTTTTTAAAGCTTTCAAAAGTACAGTAGCTATAATTGCTAAAACTATAGGGTGAATATTTCAAGTACAAACAAATTTAGCTCAAATTTCATAACTCAAAGAATTTATTCGAAATTTTGGTGAAATTTACTAACTTAAAAAATTTGTACGAGTAATTTCTTTACAAAAATCACTATTAAGCTAGCAAATAGCGTTCAATTTTTTTTGCTAGTTTACTTATTTTAAAGTATTTATCAAAAAGGCAAAATTTGTCTGATAACATTATTACTGATAGCGTGTTTTTCATTGGAAATTACCTTCTGTTTAATATTATTTGTAATATTTGCAAAACTTAAAAACGACCTTTTTCTCGCCTAAATAAATGAAAAATTTTCATGAAATTAACTGGCAAATTTTTAATTTCCGAAACAATTTTTAATTTCTTCACTATTTATAATTTATTTGTATTTTTGAGTTTTCAAACTAAGGAAATAATCTCTAAACTACTGTTTCGTTAGTTCGAAGAGATTAAAAAATAATGCTTCTAAATGAATTC